ACTGCCTTCATCAACAAAATTAGCCTCTCGCCGTTTGATGACAAACGATATGTTCTAAGAGATGGTATTTCCACTCTTGCCCATGGTCACTGTAGAATCAAATCTCAGTAAACCAGTTCATACCCTTTTTCTCAGAGGGAATGTCTGTGTCTATGTGTTACAAACAGACCATAGCTTGTCAACAAAGCTAACTTTAACTGGAGAATGTAAATATGGGATGCAAGTTTGAACAACAAGTGTAAGATTGTCATATTTGCTCATTTACAGTTTGATTATATAGAATATATTTTGTGTTTTAAAAATATTAGCATAATGACTGTGTAAAGGCAAACAAGCCTTTGTATCTGTTTTCATGCTATAACCATCTTCCTGTAAATAAATACTTGTATGAATCCATGTCCATTGACCATTTTGATTTATGATGTTTATAGCCTGCATAAGAAGGTTGGCTTGGAACATCTCATGGTTATCATGTTGTGTTATTCATGAAATAAAATGTGTTGATTTAACTCTGCGAGTTGTGTTTTATATCTTTGTGGAACAAATTTTCTCAGTATCAAGTGAAGCTCATTGGTGACAGAACATAATAAATCAACCATATACTGTTATTTACATCCTTTATTACTTATGTACATGACTATACATGGTATCAGGTTATACATACACCTAAATACAGTGGGCACACAAGTAATACAACAGAGACATCATATATTTATATAATACATAGATGCAAATTTGTGTAGAAGAGTTCACAGTTCATCATGATCAGTATCATCATGCTCAGACATGTCAACAAGTTCTAAATCTTCAGCCTGGCTCAAGTCCACATGAGAGAGAATATCTCTCATGACAGGTTTCATCCACTGAGTGATTTTAGCATCCATTTCTTTGGGGTCCATGTCAGGGTCCAGGGCTGTGATTTTCTCCAATATAGGCTTGAAGAGGGGTCCATATCCCAAATAGCTGGCATAACGAACGGCTATCGCAAGTCTATCAAGAAAGGTAGTTTGCCAGCATTTCCGCAGTTTCTTCTCAATCCATCGTTCGGTCTTTCCTTTATCCTCAAAGTCCTCCTTTTTCTTCCAGATGTCCTCCTTACAAGCTTTCAAAGTTTGTTCTCACATGTATTCTATGCCTTTCACTTCTCTCTCTTGATCAACTTTAGTACCTGTCTCTACTGGACGCAGGATATCATTCTTAGTATCATTAGCTGCATCCATTTTAGCTCGCTTCTGAAGAGGCTCCCCATCATTTTCTGGGCACCAGATCACATGACGTTGAAGGTCATGATTGTTTTCAAATACAATACCACACTCGTCACAGGAGGGCATGTTTTTGTCTTCTGAGGCCACAGTATTCTCAACCAGCTTGGATATGTTATCTCTCTGAGTGTCTGGAGTCAAATGATTAGATGGTTCAGGTTGCTCCTTTTATAGATGTGCTACCTGCCTCCATCTGTCTTAATTCTGGTGGGGGGATTTGGTAGGTATTTTATTATCCTTGAGGTCGAGGGTATGTCAGCATTAGTTAGTATATTAGGTTGTAATCTCTCTAATTCAAGAGTGGTAGGTCGTAGATCAACTGTCAGATTGCCATAGAGTTTTTGCACAGCTGCCTCATAGACTGACATAAACCTATCTACATTGTTGGGGTAGATACGTCTGGCAAACAGTTGAACTTGTAATCTATCTATAGGTGAGTTGAATACAGTCACGTGACTGTTTCCCTCGTGGAAACAGATTTTGTAACAATAGGAAGATAATGACATTCTTGTGATGAGAGGTTCGAGTAAATAGCTGAGAAATGCGTTTGTCATCCTTAGCTTCAGACATCATGTCATCCAACACCATCATGTTGTTATTTCTGGCATCCAAGTAGGTATCGTCGAGTACATCGTAGGGAATTCCTTTCACAAACTTCACATGGGGCAACTGTTCACTGATCATCTGGTACAGGGGCTGCCATTGGGTGTAGCACCAGACAATGTGATTAGGTGCTGGCTGTATACTTCCATGCGTGAGAAGGTTGTAGACAATCATCGATTTGCCTCTGCCAGTAGGGCCCACGACAACTGCATTGGAGGGGATGGTAAACTTTAAATGTTCTTTATCATTGAATTGATTGTGGTTTCGCTGTTGCTTATACATTGAGTTATGCGGCAGGGGTGGTAATTGCGGTAATACCCTTGTTTGCTAAATATGATCTCACTTTCTTGTTATCAAATTCCCGACCTTTGTCGGATCTGATAATGTGTGGAAGAGTAGCACGAGCAAATATCTTCTTCATGGCCTTAAGGACTGCGTCTGGTTCCGCCCATAGTAATCGTGTGAATACATTGATAGCTATCAATAAGTATTTCACACCGTCATTATCCGAAGCTATATTCGAAACATCGGCCAAGTCAATATCCCACCGATCGTTCAAACCAGTTGAGATCACTCTGTTCCGCTTGAACTTGTATCTAAGAGGTCGCTGAAGTGAATAAACATCTTGAGAAGCGAGCCACTTCTTGATGTGATGTAAGCTGATGTCAAATTTCCCTTCCTTTTGCATCACGTGATATAACTTAGTTGAACCCGAGGAGGCTGGGTGTTTGGGATTAAAGTAAATGCTGGACAAATACTCTTTCCATCCTTCCACGGGCATGGTTGTAGGAGAAATGATATAAAAATAAATTGCATATGTTTTAATAAGAAACCATGTTTCCTTCAGCAGCGATAGGTTTACACAGCCTATGACTGGCCGACTGCGTGACCTTGTTTCGATCTCACCCTACGCCGCGAGCAGTTCTGTTGTGTAAGGTCTGTAACGGTTTGTTTACACAGGTGACTCTACCTCGTCTCGCTGTATGTGTGAGCTAGTTCCTCTCACCGTTGCATTCCACTTAATACATACTTGGTATGAAAAGATGTATGAAGTTGATTTATGTATAAACTTTCCTATGTATTGTACACTGAAATATAACAGTCCATACGTTGATATCTCTTTTAAGATGTTAAGTACTGCCTCCAATAACTTGCGAGGGAGTTTTCCTGTTTAGATACATACAATCACGTTCGGTCTATGACAACCTCACTACCACCCGGACTGTATCGTTATTCTAATTTACAAACAAGCCCTGTCTCCGTGCTTGAAAATGATCATTAAACAATATATTATGGATGAATGCTGGATTACAAGTCGGCTTTAATCATAGGCACAAGCCAGCTCTCGCTATCTTTAGACTGGGGGGAATTTCATTTCTAAAAATAGCCCCGTGTATTGCACCACACCTTGTCATGATGTGTTTCTATAATTAACTCGGCTCCATCGTTCATGTGGGGCAGAAACCCCATCTTACTATCATCAAACCTTGTCTGAGGTACATTTGCCACCTGCATTTGATCATATGTAGTTACCTTATCTTTGACTATTTGCGACCAAGCACTTTTCTTCATAAACTTAGAATCACAAATGTAGTTACGGATTTCACTAAGCAGATTGTATTTGGAAACAAGCTGTAACATGTTAAAAACAGGTGATTTCGTATCAAACTTATTCTTGTATATCAGCGATTAATTACAGTGGTATTGGCCAAGGCGGGCTAAAAGCATTTGTTTAAAGCTGTATCTTGTATTGGCTTTCCACAGACAAGTTGTGTTCTCTCCGTAGAGCACATAGCAGTGCTGACATGACTCCAGCATATACGTATAGTATACAATACTTTCTACAAGTGTAAGAGCTGCTGTCTCAGCATTAAAGTCTTTTCTAAAGCCAAATTGGAAGTTGTGGGGAAACGTTATCTTTGCAGCTGTCCACTTTTCAATTATGTTAAGGAGCAATCTTTCAAACAGTTTACTGAGAATCGCCGTTAATGTTTATCCTCTGTAGTTGGAGGGGTCAGCTTTACTTTTACCGTGGCCAGGGGCAGAATGTGTCCAACATTAAAAGCTTGTGGAATATACTCGTATGTGATGATACTTTTGAACAATATAATGATATGTTTGATTAAAGATCTGCCTGCATAGTTGACATGTTTGTTAGCGAATCCATCGGACCCTGGGGCTTTGATATTTTTTAATCTTTGGACGATGGCTATAATCTCACTGAGAGTGAATAGTTCATTCAGCGGAGAATACATGTCTCCTTCACATATATTTCTACTTTCCTCAAATCATTCAATATTTGATATTTCTATTTACATATTTCTTTAGGAAAGTGATTATCAAAGCTACTTTCCATGTTTGGTACAGATAGATCCTTGAAGTATTGACCAAAAGTGTTACAGATATTTTCTGCATTATCGCCTGCATGATTTTTGTATACTACACTGGTTACTAGACCTGTAGCTCGTTTATACTTTTTGTAAGCTTAAAATATTCATGTAAGTCCATTTCCGCTGCCTGTTGGATTTCTTTCGGTCTATCATCTATGAGACTTTCCTTACCTTTATGGTGGAATTCCACCATTCATCTCCGGCGTTGTTGATTATTTACTTGTCATCCCAGGCCAATATATTACCAGGCCCCAGCCAACACGACAGGAACTTCGGTTGCTGAAGATTTACTCATTCTGCTGCACGAGACGTTCTGGAATCTCGGAGTGGTGAAGCCTTGGAGAATGTGAAAACTGTCGAACCAAACTTGGTTTGGTTTGGTTTGGTTTGGTTGTTGTTTAACACCGCGCTCAGCAACATTCCAGCCATATGGTGTCGGTCTGTAAATAATCCAGTCTGGGCCAGACAGTCCAGTGATCAACAGCATGAGCATGGATCTACGCAAATAGGATTCGATGACATGTGTCAACCACGTCAGCGAACCAGCGTTAGTCGCCTTTTACGACATGCATGGGTTGCTGAAGATCGAATCGAACCCGGACTTTCACGAGTCGTCGAACCAATAGAACACTGAGTAAAATCGCTGGTGAGGAAGCAATATATGATCGGACCATAACTGCCAATATCAGAGAGCATCGGGATAAACAGAAGACAGTAGGCAAACAGAATAATTGTAATAAAAAGGTGACAGCCCACGTGGTCCATTTTCTGACCAGTCACTAACATCCATAGACACATTTGTTATCAAGTATTGGGCAGAAAGGAAATAGCACAATTCCTCGATACATCTGTTTTCCTCGTCTTGGACATCACAATATAAACTAAACTGTTTTTTAATGAGAAATCATTTATTGAGGGCCGCCAGGAAGTGCATTTAGGCATCTCAGAAGAACTGATTCAAGTTTTTCAAATACCTCAGTTGATCAAAACCGTTAAGGGCGCAGAATCGGCAAGGTATGAGTACGTATACATCAGTCTAGTATATATACAGCAAAGTTTAAACAAAATGATATTACTAAGTCTAGCAAACAGCAAAGTTCAAACAAAATGACAATACTAAGTCAAGCACAGAGCAAAGTGTCAACAAAATGATAATACTACGTTTAGCAAACAACAAAGTGTCAACAAAATGACAATACTACGTCTAGTATACAGCAAAGTGTCAACAAAATGACAATACTATGTCTAGTATACAGCAAAGTGTCAACAAAATGACAATGCTACGTTTAGCAAACAGCAAAGTGTCAACAAAATGACAATACTACGTCTAGTATACAGCAAAGTGTCAACAAAATGATAATACTACATTTAGCAAACAACGAAGTGTCAACAAAATGACAATACTACGTCTAGTATACAGCAAAGTGTGAACAAAATGATAGCAAACAGCAAAGTGTCAACAAAATGACAATGCTACATTTAGCATACAGCAAAGTGTCAACAAAATGACAATACTACATCTAGTATACAGCAAAGTATCAACCAAATGACAATACTACGTCTAATATACAGCAAAGTGTCAACAAAATGATAATACTACGTTTAGCAAACAGCAACGTGTCAACAAAATGACAATACTACGTTTAGCATACAGCAAAGAGTTAACAAAATGACAATACTACGTCCAGCAGCAAAGTATTATAAAATGACATTACTGTGTCTAGCATACAGCAAAGAGTTAACAAAATGACATCACTACATGTAACATACGACAGAGCGTTAACAAAATGACTAGAACTGTACCAGAAACATTGAAACAATAAATATAGGGTTATCTATGGACAGTTTTTTACGAAATATGTATTAAAACGTTTCTCTCGTCATGTTTTAAGTGAAAGTTTCAATTATCATTTACTTTTTTTTGTCTGATCACGTGGTGTAGAAAGACCCGAACGACAAGGATCAACTTTTGAAATGATACATCACATGTATAGTCTACAAAGGTACTCCACTGTATGGGACATGGCCGTATGTCTTCAACTCGTGTCTCACTTCCCGTTCTTCTGGGGCTTCTGAACCTGGCTGTACAGCTCGGACATCTCAGCTAAAAAACAAAAGTATGAATACAAACATGTGGCAGAATGAAGTTACAGACATTTCGCGATTCCATTGTATTCCATGCACCTATGGTACTGTGAAGTGCCGAACAATCCTTGGAAACGACATTGTTCGACACACAGACTCGGGATTCGAACAATGTAGCTGGTGAACACAAGTGCTTTTGTTTGCTGTAAACGCCAGCTGTAAAATGGCAGACAGATCTTGTCAGGCCTCCAGATCTATGATGTCGCTTCATATGATAAACATGGCTTACGTGGAACGTGTTCTAATCTGGGGTCACTCGGATAGTATACTAGAATACCACATGCCAAATGTGAAAACTGCTCTCGCGAAGAACCAATGTAATCTCTGAGTCAACTGCCCTGTGCCCTAACTGACATAATGCCCTGTGATATAACAGACATGGGGTCCTGTTAAATAACTCACATAATGTCATGTAATATAACTGACATAATGCCATGTGATGTAACGGACATAGTGTACTGTGATATAACTGATATAAGGTTCTGTGATATAAATTACATAATGCCCTGTGATGTAACTGACATAATACTCTGTGATATAACTGACATAATGTCCATTAATATAACTTATGTAATGTTCTCTGATATAAATTACATAATGCCCTGTGATGTAACTGACATAATACTCTGTGATATAACTGACATAGTGTCACGTGATATAACTGACATAATGTCCATTAATATAACTGATATAATGTTTTGTGATATAAATTACATAATGCCCTGAGATGTAACTGACATAATATTCTGTGGTATAACTACCATAATGCTCTGTAATATAACTGACATAATGTCCTCTGATGTAACTATTATTGAGTCCTGTGATATAACTAACATAATGCTCTGTGAGATAGCTAGAATATTACTAGATTGCGCACATCAATCAAAGCTCACTCACTCAGCTCGATTTTCTTCAGATGCAATATTGTTGAAAACAAAGTGCAACCACACTCACTCACTCACGACCTCATTCACTCACGACATCACACAACAAATCACTCTCGACCTCTCTCACACACGACTTGACTTACCATCTTTGTCCGTTGATTGGAGTGGCATTGTTTCACCTTCGGACTTGGGTTGTTTCTGTACCACGCTGTATACATCACCTGCAGCTGCCCCCTCTACGAGGAAGAAGTCGACTTAATTTACACAAACATTACTCGTAACGGATATACAAAGAATTCGATATACTTTAGCATCACGTTTGTTGCAAAAGATTAGCTTTACTGGGAATATAGTTTACATTCTGTTCCTGGTATACTGATTGGATATGTTCTTGTTATCTCTCCACTACAACCTTGTCAGTTCAACAGGCCTTCAGACAGCCATCCAACACTATAAAACTCGGGTACATCTTCAGCGCTGCTTTAAGACATATTTTTGATGACTGAATGAGGATTCTAAGACATTCCTTCATGACATAAAACCTATCCAGGGAAACTGACATAATGTCCTGTCATGTAACTGACATAATACTCTGTGATATAACTGACGGAATGCCCTGTGATATAACTGACATAATGTCCATTAATATAACTGATTTAATGATCTGTGATATAAATTACATAATGCCATGTGATGTAACTGACATTATACTCTGTGATATAACTGACATAATGTCCATTAATATAACTGACATAATGTCCATTACTATAACTGATATAATGTTCTGTGATATAAATTACATAATGCCCTGTGATGTAACTGGCATAATATTCTGTGTTATAACTGACATGATGTCCATTAATATAACTGACATAATGTCCATTAATATAACTGACATAATGTCCATTACTATAACTGATATAATGTTCTGTGACATAAATTACATAATGTCCTGTGATGTAACTGACATAATATTCTGTGGTATAACTACCATAATGCTCTGTGATATAACTGACATAATGTCCTCTGATGTAACTATTATTAAGACCTGTGATGTAACGGACATAATACTCTGTGATATATCTTACATAATGTTCTGTGATATAACTTACATAATGTCATGTGATGTAACTGACATAATACTCTGTGATATAACTGACATAGTGTCATGTGATATAACTGACATAATGTTCATTAATATGACTGATATAATGTTCTGTGATATAAATTACATAATGCCCTGTGATGTAACTGGCATAATATTCTGTGTTATAACTGACATAATGTCCATTAATATAACTGACATAATGTCCATTAATATAACTGATATAATGTTCTGTGACATAAATTACATAATGCCCTGTGATGTAACTGACATAATATTCTTTGGTATAACTACCATCATGCTCTGTGATATAACTGACATAATGTCCTCTGATGTAACTATTATTAAGTCCTGAGATGTAACTGACATAATGCTCTGTGATTTAACTAACATAATGCTCTGTGAGATAGCTAGAATATTACTAGATTGCGCACATCAATCAAAGCTCACTCACTCAGCCCGATTTTGTTCAGATGGTATATTGTTGAAGACAAAGTGCAACCACACTCACTCACGACCTCATTCACTCACGACATCACACAACAAATCACTCACGACCTCTCTCACACACGACTTGACTTACCATCTTTGTTCGTTAACTGGAGCTGCATTGTTTCACCTTCGGACTTGGGTTGTTTCTGTACCACGCTGTATACATCACCTGCAGCTGCCCCCTCTACGAGGAAGAAGTCGACTTAATTTACACAAACATTACTCGTAACGGATATACAAAGATTTCGATATACTTTAGTATCACGTTTGTTGCAAAAGATTAGCTTTACTGGGTATATAGTTTACATTTTGTTCCTGGTATACTGATTGGATCTGGTCTTGTAAGTGCAACAGGCCTTCAGACAGCCATCCAACACTATAAAACATCAGCGCTGCTTAAAGACATAAACATTCCTTCATGATATAAAACTTGTCCAGGGAAATTCCTATTCAAATAATTGTCAGAAATATTTTCCTTTACTTTATCAGTTTGCCTCTGCAAGTAGCCTCACTGTCAGGTTGAGATCTACCAGGGGACTCACCATTCAGTGTTGATGTTCGTTGTTTATCTGGGATGGCATAATATATCTACAACCACACTGTCAGGTTGAGATCTACAGGAAACTCACCATTCAGTGTTGATGTCCGTTGTTTATCCGGGATGGCATATATGTCTCCAACCACACTGTCAGGTTGAGATTTACCAGCGAGCACCAGAGGATCTGACGGAGACAGTACCAAGTACTACACCAAGACATAGAAAATACACAGAGCCAGAAGTACATGGTTACACATGGATCAGTGTCAATGTCCCAAAGATGGTGACAAGGTTCAGAGACTGACATCAGACATCTGATAGATAGAGAGGAGAAAAGGGTATATGATGCATGAAGGATTTAACCAACATAGTTTAGTTGCTCATCGTTTGTGAAATTCATAAAATAGTGGCTCTATAAGTGAGTGAAAACTAGGTGGTTCGAATTCGTAATACATGATAGGGTTTTGTCGCTTCAGATTCAGATGACACATTAATTGAGTGGGTTGAGTTTTACTCCCGTTTGACAATAGTCAAGCAACATTATGACGGGATGGGGCGGATACTACTTATCAATGTTGAAACAATCTTGCACCTGTGGTGGGGTGAGGAATCGAACCTGGTATTTGGCTTGGAGAGCCAGCACTTTGACCACGAGGCTAGCACTTCCATCTGTTGTAATCTATGCCATATACTCACCCTGGGGTTTAGCTGCCTGTCCCACGTCTCCACCGTAACTGTCATAGAGGACGTTGTCCACCATCCCTGCAAATGGGAAGGGAAAATGTACCTGAACAAACTGGCTTTAGACAACAGAGGAGGAAAACAAACAAAAGTATAAAGGAAATGTTTTATTGACTATTTTTACATATAATCAAATACATACTAGTATTAGGTCTTTGAATGGGATTCAGAAGTGATACACATATAAATGGCTACACAATGGAAACCAAAATTTAACTGGCGTTGATGTGTGATTGGCAAAGGATAAATGGAAACCAACACTTAATAGTTAATTAGTGTTGATTGGTGATGAACAGTGTACAGCTGGTAGCCGGGATTAAATTATAATTTATAGGCCATCCATTGTTTAGCCATTATGTTTGTTGTCTTATTACTTTTGTTGTACATGTACATATATATGCTCTCTGCTTCATACCATTCATTCACCCCACAATAAAGAAGCTGACATCCATAAAAAATCTCTTCCTCATGCTAGTTTTCTTAAATCCATCAAAAGCTTTAATAGTAGTATGTACTCACCAGCATCTTCTCTTTGTTCAGGATCTTGATGTCTGATAAGTTAGAAATGTACGATTACTTTAGTTCAGGGTTTCGCCACGCACATAATCGGACCACTTCAGTTAAATCTGAACAGTGAAAACGACACATAGCTCATAAAAGTATTAATTTCCTTTTGGGTAGAGATCCTTCTGAACCATTGTTTAAATTTCGATTTAATGTCCTTTATTAGCACACTGAACAGATGGGTAGGTCAAGTCGTTTAAGGTGCCACACTTCGTTTTGTCAGATATGTCTGATCAAGGGTTCGAATCCTGTGTGTGAAGGTAGGTAATCAGTTTTCACCCGGTCGTGGGTTTCACCCAAGGTATATACATCAAATGCCTACATTCACTCGGCTTTCCAACCACATCAAGATTACACGCCGTGATATTATTGAATGCTGTACAAAGAGACGCTAAACTCATCCGCATTTGAAGGCATTATTATCTATTGGCTGAGGATGATATACTTTGACTGTCTGTAGAAGAAGAAGAAGACGAAGAAGAAGAAGAAGAAGAAGAAGAAGGAGAAGGAGAAGGAGTTGTATTGTATTTTAGGCCAGCGGCACACATATAGAAGAAACAATAATAAGAGTAAATTACACAATCGAATGTTACATGCAGTATAACACCAATTTGGATATGCAATAATTTTCAATACGTTATTTCTTACAATTGTTGATTGTTGAAGAAGAAGAATATGAAGAAGAAGTTTATTGTATTGTGTTCTTCTGAGGCACATACAGAGTAAACAAAATACAGAGCAAATTACACAATGGGATGTTCGTTGTAATGTACTGATACTCGTATTGTCACCTGTGAAAAACAGCAATAGCGACAACAAGCCCTTTCCTTTTTACGTTTTTCATTAATGAATTAGCAATACAAATATGTGACACATGTACGAATGGGATTCAACTACACCCAGATACAATACAACTATTTCTGTTACTCTTTGCCGATGATATTGTACTATTTTCTAGTACTGTTAGCGGTTTACAGAAACAAATAGATGAATTAGACACATTTTCTGACCAATATAAATTGTGTGTAAACAGAGACAAAACCAAAATTATCGTCTTTAAGAAAGGTGGCAAACTCTCTCAATTAGAAAAATGGTATTATAAAGGGCAACTACTCAAAACTACCAGTGTTTATAAGTATCTTGGTGTATATTTTGTAATAGTCTTTCCTGGTCCAAACACACAAAACAAGCGTCTGCACAAGCCTTGAAAATCCTAATCGGTGTTTGTAAAAATATGAGATCGTTGGGTGAAATGTCCTTTAACACATTCTTTAAAATATTCGATATGAAGATAAGTCCAATACTTCTATATGGCTCTGAGATATGGGGATTACAACAATATGACAGTATTGAAAGAGTTCATTTATATGCATGTAAAAAGGTTCTTGGTGTAAAACCGAACACATGTAATAGGATGGTTTACGGAGAATTAGGTAGATTCCCCTTGTTTATATACTCTTCCATTAAAGCCATAAAGTATTGGGTAAGATTACTGCATATGCCATGCCATAGGTTTCCGAAAAAATGTTATGATATGATGAAATTGTATGACGAAAACGGGAAAAGGAATTGGGTGAGTGATATTAGGGAGTTGTTGTACAAAACTGGTTATGGTTATGTGTGGTGTGATCACAATGTTCAGTTGCATACCAATTTTATCATATCCTTTACACAAAGAATGAAAGATATCTATTTCCAGTCTTGGTCGGAATCACTACTTCTATCCACAAAATGTTTATACTATAACCAATGGGAATCGGACATACGTTTTGAAGACTATTTAGCAAAAATCGGCGTAAAGAAGTTCCGTATAGCTCTCTCTCGTTTTCGTTGCTCTTCCCATGAATTATTTATTGAAACTGGCAGGTATACAGGTATACAAAGAGAAATCAGAATATGTCAGTTATGTAATATGAGTACTGTTGAGGATGAACTACATTTTCTTCTAATCTGTCCAGCTTATACGACTCTACGAACAAAATACCTAAAGCCATACTTTTATAAACATCCAAGTGTAAGAACATTAATTTCACTATTAACAGATACTACCACATCAATATTACAGAATCTGGCAATGTACATCTATTTCGCTATGAGATTAAGAAAAAGTATTGTTACAGAAAAGAATTTATAAATGATTTCTATCTACTCATGTAAACTCTAAATGTACTACAGGCCTGTGGCCTTTTAAGTACTGAAATAAAGATTGAACTGTAAAGTCTCACTTCTTTCCATAATCTGAGAATTAAGAGATATCTGTATACATACCTACGATCCCCATTGACAGGCCCCTGAGCTGCTGAGGAAATATGAACAGAACAACACTAGACATAGATCATCAGTACTGAATTACTATCTTTACAGGTTTCTCTTTTATAAGCTATTTATACACTGGTAAGTAAGTGGGGAAACGGATAGTGTTAGTAGCAGGGGAAGTGTATAGCGATGCTGAAATTTGGGAATAGGTTAATCAAAGTGAACGATGACATAAACCATATTTGGCATCTACCCTAACTCGCTGTGCAGAATTACGGCCCTTTGGCATTCCAGGAGCCTGTGGAACGTCGGTGGAAGCCTGAGCTCGGTTTCAACGTAGTGGAAAACGTCTAAGACATACATAACTTGAGGCCTTAATCCACAATAATCTGACACACTGATAAAATTGAAATCCATGGCCTCCATGACATGCATGACCTAAATGACAGACATGACCTCCATAACAAACATAACCTCCACAACAGACATGACCTCCATGACAGACATGGCCTCCATGACAGACATGCCCTCCATGACAGCCATGGCCTCAATGACAGGAATAACCTCCATTACAGACTGGACCTCCATGACAGACATGGCCTCCATGACAGACATGCCCTCCATGACAGCCATGGCCTCAATGACAGAAATGACCTCCATGACAGACATGACCTCCATGACAGACATGACCTCCATGACAGGCATGGCATCCATGACAGACATGATCTCAATGACAGACATAACCTCCACAACAGACATGACCTCCATGACAGACATTGCCTCCATGACACACATGCCCTCCATGACAGCCATGACCTCAATGACAGGAATAACCTCCATTACAGACGTGACCTCCATCACAGAAATGACCTCCATGACAGACATGACCTCTATGACAGACATGGCCTCCACGACAGACATGACCTCCATGACAAACAAGGCCTCCACGACTGACATGACCTCCATGACAGATATGACCTCCATGACAGACAAGGCCTCCATGACAGACATGATCTCAATGACAGACATAACCTCCACAACAGACATGACCTTAATGACAGACATTGCCTCCATGACACACATGCCCTCCATGACAGCCATGACCTCAATGACAGGAATAACCTCCATTACAGACGTGACCTCCATCACAGAAATGACCTCCATGACAGACATGACCTCTATGACAGACATGGCCTCCACGACAGACATGACCTCCATGACAAACAAGGCCTCCACGACTGACATGACCTCCATGACAGATATGACCTCCATGACAGACAAGGCCTCCTCCAGGACATGACCCTCCATGACTGACATGACCTCCATGACAGACATGACCTCCATGACAGATATGACTTCCATGACAGACATGGTCTCCATGACAGACATGACCTCCACGACAGATATGGCCTCCATCACATACATGACCTCCATCACATACATGACCTCAATGACAGATATGACCTCAAAGACAGACATGACCTCCATGAGAGACATGACCTCCATGAGAGACATGACCTCCATGACAGGCATGACCTCCATGACAGACATAGCCTCCATAACAGACGTGACCTCCAATACAGACATGACTTCCATGACAGGCATAACCTCCATGACAGACATGGCCTCCATGAGACATGACCTCCATCACAGACATGGCCTCCATGACAGACATGGCCTCCAATACAGACATGACCTCCATGACAGGCATAACCTCCATGACAGACATGGCCTCCATGACAGGCATGATCCACATGACAGACTTGACTTCCATGACAGACATGACCTCCATGACAGATATGACCTTCATGACAGATTTGACCTCAATGACAGACATGACTTCCATGACAGATATGACCTCCATGACAGACATGGCCTCCATGACAGACATTGCCTCCATGACAGACATGAAAACCTCGACAGATATGGCCTCCATCACATACATGACCTCCATCACATACATGACCTCAATGACAGATATGACCTCAATGACAGACATGACCTCTATTATATACATTACCTCCATGACATACATGGCCTCCATGAGACATGACCTCAATGACCCACATGGCCTCCATGGCATACATGGCCTACATGAGACATGACCTCAATGACCCACATGGCCTCCAATACAGACATGACTTCCATGACAGGCATAACCTTCATGACAGACATGGCCTACATGACAGGCATGACCTCCATGACAGACATGACCTCAATGACACACATGCCCTCCATTACAGGCATGACCTCCATGACAGGCATGGCCTCCATGACAAACATGGCGTCCATGACAGACATGACCTCCATGACAGACATGGCCTCCTTAACAGACATGGCCTCCATGACAGAAATAACCTCCTAGACAGATATGACCTCCATGACAGACATGACCTCCATTACAGACATGACCTCCATTACAGACATGGCCTTCATGAGACATGACCTCAATGCGAGACATCGCCTCCATTTCAAACGTGACCTCCATGATAGACATGACCTCCATGACAGACATGGCCACCATAACAGACGTGACCTCCATGACAGACATGGCCTCCATGAGACATGACCTCAATGACAGACATGGCCTCCATAACAGTCATGGCCTCCATGACAGACATTGCCTCCATGAGACATGACCTCAATGACCCACATGGCCTCCAATACAGACATGACCTCCATGACAGACATAACCTCCATGACACACATGGCCTCCATGACAGACATGGCCTTCATGACAGGCATGACTTCCATGACAGGCATGACCTCCATGACTGGCATGACCTCCATGACAGACATGGCCTCCATGACAGGTGTGGCCTCCACGACAGACATGACCTCCATGACAGACATGACATCCATGACCGACATGGTCCCCTTGAGATGCATGACCTCTTTGACAGACATGACATCCATGAGAGGCATGACCTGCATGACATGCATGACCTCCATGACAGACATGGCATCCATGACAGATATGACCTCCATGACATGCATGACCTCCATGACAGATATGACCTCCATGACATACATGGCCGCCATGACATGCATGACCTCCATGACAGGCATTACCTCCATGACAGACATGGCCTGCATGTGAGACGTGACCTCCATGACAGACATGGCCTCCATGAGACATGACCTCAATGACAGCGTGGCCTCCATAACAGTCATGGTCTCCATGACAGACATTGCCTCCATGAGACATGACCTCAATGACCCACATGGCCTCCAATACAGACATGACCTCCATGACAGACATGACCTCCATGACAGACATGGCCTCCTTAACAGACATGGCCTCCATGACAGAAATAACCTCCTAGACAGATATGACCTCCATGACAGACATGACCTCCATTACAGACATGACCTCCATTACAGACATGGCCTTCATGAGACATGACCTCAATGCGAGACATCGCCTCCATTTCAAACGTGACCTCCATGATAGACATGACCTCAATGACAGACATGGCCACCATAACAGACGTGACCTCCATGACAGACATGGCCTCCATGAGACATGACCTCAATGACAGACATGGCCTCCATAACAGTCATGGTCTCCATGACAGACATTGCCTCCATGAGACATGACCTCAATGACCCACATGGCCTCCAATACAGACATGACCTCCATGACAGACATTACCTCCATGACACACATGGCCTCCATGACAGACATGGCCTTCATGACAGGCATGACCTCCATGACAGGCAGGACCTCCATGACTGGCATGACCTCCATGACAGATATGGCCTCCATGACAGGCGTGGCCTCCACGACAGACATGGCCTCCATGACAGACATGACATCCATGACCGACATGGCCCCCTTGAGATGCATGACCTCTTTGACAGACATGACATCCATGAGAGGCATGACCTGCATGACATGCATGACCTCCATGACAGACATGGCATCCATGACAGACATGACCTCCATGACATGCATGACCTCCATGACAGATATGACCTCCATGACATACATGGCCGCCATGACATGCATGACCTCCATGACAGGCATGACCTCCATGACAGACATGGCCTGCATGTGAGACGTGACCTCCATGACAGACATGGCCTCCATGAGACATGACCTCAATGACAGCGTGGCCTCCATAACACTCATGGTCTCCATGACAGACATTGCCTCCATGAGACATGACCTCAATGACCCACATGGCCTCCAGACAGAAAATACAGACATGACCTCCATGACAGACATAACCTCCATGACACACATAGCCTCAACGACAGACATGGCCTCCATGACAGACATGACATCCATGACCGACATGGCCCCCTTGAGATGCATGACCTCTTTGACAGACATGACATCCATGAGAGGCAGGACCTCCATGACATGCATGACCTCCATGACAGACATGGCATCCATGACAGATATGACCTCCATGACATGCATGACCTCCATGACAGATATGACCACCATCACATACATGGCCGCCATGACATGCATGACCTCCATGACAGGCATGACCTCCATGACAGACATGGCCTGCATGTGAGAGATGACCTCCATGAGAGATATGGCCTCAATGACAGATATTGCCTCCATGACAGGTATGGCCTCCATGACAGACATAACCTCCATGACAGACATGGCCTCCATCAAAGACATGACCTCCATGACAGGCATGGCCTCCATGCCACAATGCCACACATGACCTCTATGACAGACATGTCCTCAATGACCGACATGACCTCCATGAAAGGCATGACCTCCATGACAGACATGACCTCCATGACAGACAAGACCTCCATGACAAGCATGACCTCCATGAAAGATTTGACCTCCATGACATGCATGGCCTCCATGTCAAACATGACCTCCATAATAGACATGACCTCAATAACAGACATGGCCTCCATATCAGACGTGACCTACATGACAGACATGGCCTCCCTGAGACATGACCTCCATGACAGACATGGCCTCCATGACAGATATGGTCTCCATGAGACATGACCTCAATGACTCACATGGCCTCCAATACAGACATGACCTCCATGACAGGCATAACCTCCATGACAGACATGGCCTCCATGACAGACATGACCTCCACAACAGACATGACTTCCATGACAGACATGACCTCCATCACAGATATGACCTCCATGACATACATGACCTCCATGACAGACATGGCCTCCATGACAGACATGATCTCTACGACAGATATGGCCTCTATCACATATACATGAGCTCAATGACAGATATGACCTCAATGACAGACATGACCTCCATTATATACATAACCTCCATCAGAGACATCACCTCCATGACAGACATCGCCTTCATGTCAAACATAACCTTCATGATAGACATGACCTCCATGACAAACAGGGCCTCCAAGACTGACATGACCTCCACGATAGACATGACCTCCATGACAGAACCATGACCTCCATGACAGGCATGGCCTCCATTCCATACATGACCTCCACAACAGACATGGCCTCCATAACAGACATAGCCTCCATGACAGAAATGACCTCCTACACAGATATGACCTCCATTACATACATGACCTACATGACAGATATGACCTCCACAACAGACATGACCTCAATGAGAGACATCGCCTCCATTTCAAAAGTGACCTCCATGATAGACATGACCTCAATGACAGACATGGCCTCCATAACAGACGTGACATCAATGACAGACATGGCCTCCATGAGACATGACCTCAATGACAGACATTGCCTCCATGATGCATAACCTCAATGACCCACATGGCCTCCAATACAGACATGACCTCCATGACAGGCATGACCTCCATGACAGGCAGGACCTCCATCACTGGCATGAACTCCATCACAGGCATGGCCTCCATGACAGGCGTGGCCTCCACGACAGACATGGCTTCCATGACAGACATGACATCCATGACCGACATGGCCCCCTTGAGATGCATGACCTCCATGACAGACATGAAATCCATGAGAGGCATGACCTCCATGATATGCATGACCTCCATGACAGACATGGCCTCCATGAGACATATGGAATCAATCACAGATATGGCCTTCATGACAGGTATGGCCTCCATGACAGACATGACCTCCATGACAGACATCGCCTCCATCACAGACATGACAGACATGACAGACATGACATCAATGACAAACATGGTCTCCACAAGGAGAGATGACCTCCATGACAGACATGACCTCCATGACAGATATGACCTCCATGACAGACACGGCCTCCATGACACAAATGGCCTCCATGACAGACAATGGCCTCCATGACAGACATGACCTCCATGACAGATATGACCTCAATGACAGACATGACCTCCATAACATACATCAACTCCATGACAGATATGATCTCCATAACAGACATAATCTCCATGAGAGACATGTCCTCGATGACAGACATGTCCTCAATGGTCGACATGGCCTCCATGAGAGGCATGACCTCCATGACAGACATGACCTCCATGACAGGCAAGACCTCTATGACAGGCCTGACCTTCATGACAGACCTGACCTCCATGACAGATATGGCCTCCATGACAGGCATGGCCTCCATGTGAGATATGGCCTCTATTACAGACATGGCCTACATGACAGATTTGACCTCAATGAGAGACATGACCTCCATGACCCACATGGCGTCCATGACAGACATGACCTCCATGACAGACATGGCCTCCATGACAGGCATGATGACCATGACAGGTATGACCATGACCTCCATGACACGCATGACCTCCATGACAGACATGACCTCCATGACAGACATGGACTCCATGACAAGCATGGCCTCCATGACAGGCATAGCCTCCATCACAGGCATGACCTCCGTTACAGGCATGACCTCCAAGACAGACATGGCCTCGATGACAAACATGGCCTCAATGACCTCCATGGTCTCCATGACAGACATGGCCTCCATGAGAGATATGGCCTTTATTACAGACATGGCCTCCATGACAGACATGACCTCAATGAGAGACATGACCTCCATGACAGACATGGCTTCCATGACAGACATGACCTCTTTGACAAACATGGCCTCAATAACAGACGTGACCTTCATGACACACATGGCCTTCATGACAGACATGACCTCCTTGACAGACATGACCTCCATGACAGACATGGCCTCAATCACAAACATGACCTCCATAACAGTTATGACCTCCATGACAGACATGACTTCCATTACATGCGTGACCTCCATGACAGATATGACCTCCATGACAGATATGACCTCCATGACAGACACGGCCTCCATCACAGACATGGCCTCCATCACAGACATGACCTCCATGACAGATATGACCTCCATGACAGACATGACCTACATTACATACATGACCTCCTTGACAGATATGACCTCCATGACAGACATGACCTCCATGACCTCCATGACAGGCATGGCCTTCATGACAGACATCGTCCATGACAAGGATGGCCTCCATGACAGGCATAGCCTCCATCACAGGCATGACCTCCGTTACAGGCATGACCTCCAAGACAGACATGGCCTCGGTGACAAACATGGCCTCAATGGCCGACATGGCCTCCATGACAAACATGACCTCCATGACAAACATGACCTCTATGACAAACATGGCCTCAATAACAGACGTGACCTCCATGACATACATGGCCTCCATGACAGACATGACGTCCATGACAGACATGACCTCCATGACAGACACGACCTCCATGAGAGACCTGACCTTCATGACAAACATGGCCTCAATGACAGCCATGGCGTCAATGACAGACATGGCCTCCGTGAGAGACATGGCCTCCATGATAGACATGACCTCCATGACAGACATGACCTCCATCACAGGCATGGCCTCCATGACAGACATGGCCTCCAAGAGAGACATGGCTTCCATGACAGACATGGCTTCCATTACAGACATGGCCTCAATGAGAGACATGACCTCCATGACAGACATGGCCTCCATGACAGATATGACCTCCATGACCTCCATGACAAACATGACCTCTATGACAAACATGGCCTCAATAACAGACGTGACCTCCATGACATACATGGCCTCCATGACAGACATGACGTCCATGACAGACATGACCTCCATGACAGACACGACCTCCATGAGAGACCTGACCTTCATGACAAACATGGCCTCAATGACAGCCATGGCGTCAATGACAGACATGGCCTCCGTGAGAGACATGGCCTCCATGATAGACATGACCTCCATGACAGACATGACCTCCATGACAGACATGACCTCCATCACAGGCATGGCCTCCATGGCAGACATGGTTTCCATTACAGACATGACCTCCATCACAGACATGGCCTCCATTACAGACATGACCTCCATGACAGACATGACCTCCATTACAGACATGACCTCCACGACATATATGACCTCCATGACAGACATGACCTAAATGACAGACATGACCTCCATGACAGATATGACCTCCATGACAGAATTAACCTCCATGACAGACATGACCTCAATGACAGGCATTGCATCGATGACCGACATGGCCTCAATGACAGACATGGCGTCCATGACAGACATGGCCTCCATGAGAGACATGGCCTCCATGGCAGACATGATCTCCATGAGAGATATGACCTGCTTGGTAGACATGACAGACATGACGTCCATGACAGACATGACCCCCATGACAGGTATGGCCTCCACGACAGATATGACAGACATGACCTCCATGACAGACATGACCTCGGTCTTTCCTCCCACACCAACCTGACACGACATGAGAGAACTTGTACACAGCTAAAAGTGGCGTTCGAGACAACCCGTGCACGTCATATGTACACCACGTAGCCTGTGAAATACTTTTGGAAGCGTCATTAAACCAAACTCGCTCCATCATTCCCTGGTACAGAATACAGTACTTACAGCCATTGTTTTGTTTTTCTTTCTTTGATCGACGTAAACAGCAGACGGTGATGATAGCAGCCAGTAGGACCAGGGCGCCCCCAACAGTTCCACCTAGGATGGTTATCATGGAAGTCACAGATGGTGTTTGGGGATTTACCGAGTCCTGGGTTCTGCCTTCAGTCGTATACCCAGCATTGCGTGTATCTGTGTCAGGGGCTGTCGACTTAGTAGTTGCGTCAGGAGTAGAGCCAGGGACACCAGCCGTAGCTGTGACGTGGGATGTTGATTCTGATGTTGGTGTTGTCAACGATGAGACACTCGTTGTTTTTACAGTTGTTGTTTCTGAGACGTTAACAAAATATGAGCAGTTATTACAGATGAAGAAAACGATCAAATGTGTCAAAAAGCGATTAGAACATGTGTGTGGTATCCCAGTTCTCTATATCTTTTAAAGAGTGACGGAAAGTACAACGTATTGCAATACAGAATACGTCTGAATGTACTCTCTGTTAAGAGCCCTACTATGTTGCTATACATGTGCTTCCGGCTGGTGGTGAAGTCTAGGTTAATATAGGTTAGTGTTAGAAACAAAAATCGTAATAGTCCTGTCCATGAGAATTGTACCTTTGAGTAAGTCAAAGTAACTGGAAAAAGTTTAGAGAAGACATCTTGTTGGTTATATGGGCATAACGCAAAGATAAATAACAGGTTGGAGTTGCCATTGAATGATATGGAAGCTGTGAGAGTTTTTTAATCTTCTGAATGTCCTCTAGAGTGAGTGAGTGAGTTTGGTTTTACGCCGCTTTTAGCAATATTCCAGCAATATCACGGCGGGGACACCAGAACTGGGATTAACACATTGTACCCATGTGGGGAATCGAACCCGGATCTTCGGCGTGACGAGAGAACGCCTTAACCACTAGGCTACTCCACCGCCCCGAATGTCCTTTAGAGACTGACGGCAGTCGTACAAAGAAAACAACGTTCTCCATTCACTGGATATGGTAAGGCTATCTTAAGAGGTACATTATTCGAATGCGAGTGGACATCAAAGCTAGAAAACTGATAATGTCTGATAATACCTGCAGGTGATGCCATAACATGGACATGGACCTTCTTGGTGGATGTCCCGACTTTACACTTCCATGATCCCTCGTGCACCGTACTGATGTTGGAGATTTTGAGAGCATGTTTGGTGCAGTCTGTATCTCCCAGTGACAGGCCAGGCAGCTTGTCACGTCCCTGGCGTAGCATACATTTATTATTCTGGTTTACAATATCTACAGCGTAGTCCCCGCCATCTTTGTACCAAATGCCTGTTCGCAATACCTCACCTGTACACTCTAATACAACATCACTGCCCGCCTGGACTGTTGTATTGTGATTGTCCCGAGATGTCACTGAGAAAGAAATACAAATCATATAATATCACAGTTCTGATTCATACCATCACATTATGAATATGCGTAACGTCATAGGCCCGTATGGGGAAAGAAGTTCATACTTTATAGTTGTGGATATGAGCGTTTCTTGTTTATCATCTAACCAGATTATGAGTTTGGAACGACCTGGATGTAATCAGTAAACATCGCCATCAGTGGAGTGCGTGGTCCAAACTGTCAGTATCAATATAGCTATTGTATAATGGGGAGATAGGTTACGTCATGTTAGAAATGAATACCTGTCAATATAATGCATAAAACAAAATGTATTCAGTCATTTTTTTTAAATTAAACTTCATGAGTAACATATTACATGTCTTATATGCTACCTTCTCTACATCGTGTAATCTTACGTAGCGTGGTCCAGTCAAGGATGACCACATGGATTTGATCTTGTCAAGTTAGGCCTACTGTTGATTAACGAAGGTGTCATTTGTGGTAGAATTGCGTATGCCCTGAAATATTCCCAAATCACGGACACAATGGAAGAACTTGAGTGAAGAGGGCCTAGATCAAACAGTGGCAACGGCACGAGAATCGACGCGTTGGCATTTGTTTCGATTCCGGAACTGGGTAGCAAAGTGACGGCTGTTGCGCGAAGGTAGTGATTCGTGTACGTGTGTGGCAACTTAGTATTTCTTGGAGATGTTTTTCATGATTTGTGACAGTGAATTCTTGCCAACGCACCGTGAGGTGTACCAAACAGATTCGAGGATATCGACGACAGTATTTGGATGTTGAAAGAACACCATTCTAACAGTTGGGATTCCTGTGGGCTTTGTACGATTTGAAGGATGAAACAGGACATTGCGCGTCACCAGTGGCATAGATCCTTTTATTTGGCTCAATGGAATCTGTCAAATTGCCACGGTGATTTTTTGTGAGTTCCGAGTGTGCCATTTCAATATATTCACAGCCATCTTCATCAACGGAGACCTGAAAAGACGATGAGCGAAGTGATGTCTGGTTTTCATTACCCGGACGGGCGAATCCAAGAGTTATGTCAAACCATACTTTATTGAATAGGCCGACAGGTGTAGACAAATCGAAACTTTCTCGGATCATCGCCAGCTCGGTCGGGGGGATTGCAGCGTGATGTTTCGTTTATTCATGCTGCAGGATGATTTGAGAGAAACAAGGATCAAACTTGGAAGTGCTAAATTTGGAGATGCATTCTTAGCTAGGGGAAACAAGAGATGCAAGGACTGTCTTTTATACTGGTATCCAAACACATGCTGCTTTTTTATGGTTGGTGCAGTTTTGTACCTCTGTTTTGCCAACATCCATGAAGCTGAACCCTACAAGTGTTCCAATGTTGGTGTTGATGAAACTAATACCCCGTTTACATGGACACATTTGCATATGTGAGTAAATGTACACACGTAAGTATATTTATGTGTCCATGTAAACGCAATTACACATGTGTTCAAATTTACACTGGGAGTAAATTTGCACTACCTCTGGAGGTAGTGCAAAAGTATTTTTGCATATATGTCAAATTGCACCCTGTGCGGTTGCATACCTATATAAATATGACAGAAATAGATAATTATTTCGAATGAGTTCTCAATTGTCATCCTGGCATGACTCAACCTGAAGCTGAAATCTTTCTGTGAAGGTAATAAGGTTGCGTGGCTGGTATATGGTTTTATACGGGTCTTCAACGGGTAAGCAGCATCTCCAGTGAGGAGAATGGGCATGGTGACTGCTTTGCCATGGCTTGTAGGAGTCTATCGTTCCATTCTGGTAAGATATTCCTCGTTTCACCTCAATAGAAAAATTTGAAATTTCAAATACTCAAGCGTCATGTACCTGGCCAGGCCAACCAACTGTGATATCTGTGAACAGGTACCTGTGGTCACCCACCCCCTGTCGCCATGGGTTTCTGTTGGACCAATAACAGGGGTATGAGTGCCATCTATACATCCAGCACAATTTGGGAATCCCCTGCAGTTTTCAAGTCCTCACGTTCTTAAAACTTCACATACTTGGGCAGGAGATGCTCCACCCAGGCGGTGCACACATCATTAACACAAATATATACAGTGACTTTGTGATACTCCAAACCGATTGTTCTGTAGTCTGTCGAAGTTGCTAGCCAGTATACAACTATGTTAACTTTGTGGTCAACATTAAGCAAATCACTGAATTTTAGTCTTTATGCAGAAAAGGGTGAAGTTTTTCACAGAGAAGGTTCAAAATTTTCAACCCATTCATTATCTGAAAATGCCATTTTGACAGTGTTTTGCCACCAATGACTTGATCTCTCTTTCTTCCAAACATATCTGTGTATCGATAAAGCCAAAATAAGTGCAGAGTTCAGAAGCATTGGAAAATCTTGATATGTTCGCTTCAACATATATCTCTCCACCATGTATGATATATTTGCCTCAGATGTGAAAACTCAAAACGAGACAAAAACACATGACCATATAAAATACATATAGGTTCTAATTTTTCATGTAAACGCAAAGTAAATATACTTTTACTTGCGCATGCACATATACTCCATATGCAAATATACACATGTGAGTAAAAAGTGTCTATGTAAACGGGGTATAAGACTGAACACAGTTGATGTGGACTAACAGGTTCGGGAGTCTCAAGTCAGCATGTCACTGACCTTATCAAATCTACACTGCCACCTTTAGCGAAGAAATTAACCTTCCTTATACAGTGGCCTGACAAAGAGGAAGTGATTCGTCATATGCCGAATGTTATTAAGAGAACATACAAAAATTGCAGAGTTATCAGACAAGTTGATAACTCAGAGGTCTCGTTTTCTTCAGTTGTTAGAACATGGCGATTTTGTTTTGGCAGATCGTGGATCTTTTATATCAGCTTGCAGCATGTGGTGCACAACTCGCAATTCCTGCTTTTACCAAAGGCAAGGCACAACTGTGTCCCAAGGACATTGAAACAGGTCGGCAACTATCTAGGGTGAGAATCCATGTTGAGAGGGCCATAGAAAGACTTCAAGGTTCTTGGCACCAGCATGAAAATTTATATTGTGCCTCATGCGGACAACATTTTAACCCCGAAACGTCATCATTAGCTGAAGGCCGGGTGCTGGAATGTCAAAGGTTGGAAAACAGATACTCATTCCCAAAATACTATGTTAAGACAAATGTGTGTAGAAAAACATTTGGACTGTGATGTTTTCGGAATAACAGAGACACATCTTCGATGTTCAGACACTATAGAGGTGCAAGGCTATACATGGAATGGACATAACCGTGACCTACTCCATGTACGTGCAACACGAGGGACAGGAGGGGTCGGCTTTCTGATCAGAACTGAACTTTTGAGCTCATATGAAGTATCAGTAAAAGACAATTCTTTTGAAGGCATACTTTGCTTAGCTCTATGTAACAAGGTAAACAGACGTGTTAATCACATATGTGTGTGCTACCTGCCACCAGATAACTCTACAAGAAATATACGTGTAGAGAGTTTTTACGATAGTTACCCCTATATCAACTACTAAATGGTTTAGTGTTCATAGGGGTCTGAAACAAGGATGTATTTTGTCCCCTTTACTATTTAACCCCTATATCAACTACTCCATGGTTTAGTGTTAATAGAGGTCTGAAACAAGGATGCATTTTGTCTCCTTTACTATTTAACCCCTATATCAACAACTCCATGGTTTAGTGTTAATAGAGGTCTGAAACAAGGATGCATTTTGTCTCCTTTACTATTTAACCCCTATATCAACTACTCCATGGTTTAGTGTTAATAGAGGTCTGAAAAAAGGATGCATTCTGTCTCCTTTACTATTTAACCCCTATATCAACTACTCCATGGTTTAGTGTTAATAGAGGTCTGAAACAAGGATGCATTCTGTCTCCTTTACTATTTAACCCCTATATCAACAACTCCATGGTTTAGTGTTAATAGAGGTCTGAAACAAGGATGCATTCTGTCTCCTTTACTATTTAACCCCTATATCAACTAAACCATGGTTCAGTGTTAATAGAGGTCTGAAACAAGGATGCATTCTGTCTCCTTTACTATTTAACCCCTATATCAACTACTCCATGGTTTAGTGTTAATAGAGGTCTGAAACAAGGATGCATTCTGTCTCCTTTACTATTTAACCCCTATATCAACTACTCCATGGTTTAGTGTTAATAGAAGTCTGAAACAAGGATGCATTTTGTCTCCTTTACTATTTAACCCCTATATCAACAACTCCATGGTTTAGTGTTAATAGAGGTCTGAAACAAGGATGCATTCTGTCTCCTTTACTATTTAGCCCCTATATCAACAACTCCATGGTTTAGTGTTAATAGAGGTCTGAAACAAGGATGCATTCTGTCTCCTTTACTTTTTAACCCCTATATCAACTACTCCATGGTTTAGTGTTAATAGAGGTCTGAAACAAGGATGCATTCTGTCTCCTTTACTATTTAACCCCTATATCAATTACTCCATGGTTTAGTGTTCATAGAGGTCTGAAAAAAGGATGCATTCTGTCTCCTTTACTATTTAACCTGTATATCAACTACTCCATGGTTTAGTGTTAATAGAGGTCTGAAACAAGGATGCATTCTGTCTCCTTTACTATTTAACCCCTATATCAACTACTCCATGGTTTAGTGTTAATAGAGGTCTGAAACAAGGATGCATTCTGTCTCCTTTACTATTTAACCCCTATATCAACTAAACCATGGTTCAGTGTTAATAGAGGTCTGAAACAAGGATGCATTCTGTCTCCTTTACTATTTAACCCCTATATCAACTACTCCATGGTTTAGTGTTAATAGAGGTCTGAAACAAGGATGCATTCTGTCTCCTTTACTATTTAACCCCTATATCAACAACTCCATGGTTTAGTGTTAATAGAGGTCTGAAATAAGGATGCATTCTGTCTCCTTTACTATTTAACCCCTATATCAACTACTCCATGGTTTAGTGTTAATAGAGGTCTGAAACAAGGATGCATTCTGTCTCCT